TACAGCTAAACAGGGCTTCTAATACACTCGCCGTGTCTCCTTCACATTCAATACTGTGAAGCAAAATCTTCATTTTTGCTTATTTCTCTACCTCTCTCCAGTCTTCTCCAGAGGGTTCAGAACAGAACTTCATGTCCTCTGAAGGACATGGTAATGCAGGAGAGTGAAAGAGAATTGGCCAAAACAAAACAAAACAAAACAAAACCAACAAATCCTCGATTCTCTTCCCTATCCATTTGCAGAAGCCTTTGCTTGATCAAAAAGCCTTCCATGAATGGCTAGACAAAATATTTTTGGCCTAGTGTCCCTCATGAGTTTTCCTTGCCCAGCTTCATTTAATTATTATTATTTTTTATTATTATTATAACATTTCTATGCCGCCCCTTGCCGAAACCTCGGGGCGGCTTACAACATGATAAAATACATTGAAATACAATAGTACATAATAAATTACCATTAAATATAACAATACAAAAAATACATTGATTTACAAATACAAAATTAAAATTATCAGTATAAATAAAAATATAGGAGGAGAAAGAGAAGGAAGAAGAAGTTGCCCAGGCCAGATCATATGTTTTAACAATTGAAATGATGTTTAAATAAAAAGGTCTTTACCTGGCGCCGAAAAACCAGTAACGACGGTGCCAGGCGGACCTCTTTGGGGAGTGAATTCCATAGGTTGGGCGCCACCACAGAGAAAGCCCTCCTCCGGGTACTTACTCTCCTAATTTCTTTCATGGAGGGTTCCCGGAGAAGGGACTCTCCCGCAGATCTCAAAGGGCGGTCGGGCATATACGGACGTAAGCGCTCGTTCAGGTAGCCAGGACCCAAGCCGTTTAGGGCTTTGTAGGTCATAATCAACACCTTGAATTGGGCCCGGGCTTCAATGGGAAGCCAGTGAAGCTGATGGAGGACTGGAGTCATGTGAGCATAACGCCCCGTCCCCGTTGTCGGCCCACTTGAATGTTGTCGGCCCACTTGAATGTTAGCACTTCAAATCTCATTTCCCCTTCTTGAAATTGCATAAGAAGCAATTGGAAAAGAATAAGATAGAGTGGGGGAAGACTGAAGCAACTCAACCGATCAGCTAAATCTAAGCATTTGGGACAAAAGAAGTTAGATCTCATAAGGGCTCGGGTTCCAGTGTGCTTACATAGGAAAGTTAATTTGGTAGACCTTGATAGGTCTCCATTCCCATAGCTCAAACAAATCATGAGTATAAGCAATGGTGAAGAGTAACTGAAGGACATCATGTACTTCAGCAGAGATAATAAAAAAGAGTGCTGCTTTATAAATAGACGGTTGTCATGCACTTGCTTCCAAAAACATTGTACAAAGAGATTAGAGAAATGCGCCAGAGAAAGTCTAGAATTTCATCCTGTCCAGATTAAATGTGGGTCTCTGCTTTGGTGTTAGAAGGTTTCTGATGAGGCAGCCCCACCGTGAATGGCAGGTGGCAGGTTGGCACCTGATTTTCCATGGCTGTTCTCCTCTGATGGAATTCTTCTTTTTCAGATGCTGACTCAACCAGGATGCAATAAAATGTAGAGCAGCATTTAAGGTCCAGCTCACAGTGTGTCCTCCTCTCCTGGGGAGGAAGAGAAGGATGGACAGCTTTAGGGTAGGTGTGTAGTGACTTCCTGTCAGTATGCTGCAAAGCACCCATGTATATATACCCAAGAAGGGAGAGGAACAGATGGAAGCTGCATTGTGTCCTGTGCAAGGCCTATGAATCTGGTAACTTCAGTTTCACTCAGTTTTCAGTTTTTCCAATCTTAAGGTTCTATGTCCAAATCACTTTGCAATTATTTTAAAGGTCTGCATGAAAATGTAAGCATATTATACATTTCTCCTCATGTACACATTTTTGCATGCAATTTTGCCTAGGATAATCGTCTTTCCAAGAAATGTTCTCTATCCTAATGTGTTTGTATGCTAGTTCATGCTTCCCCGAATAATCAAATTTGAGTGTCTACTTTCCCCTAGTGTATGCATTTTCAAAAGTAGAACTGCATTACAACATTTAAAAAGCATGAATATCAGAGGAATATCAGTTTTGATTTGTATAGTGGTTCCAGAAATATGAATTAGGTACTTTCATATGAACATCTGAATTGAATAAATTCTCCTCAATTCCTAATCCGCATACTTTTTGCCACCTCAGCTTCCCATCTTTCCACCCATAATTTGGGCCAGTATATCAGGTAGACATGTTTTGTCCTGTCTCGCTTAGTGGGAACACTTGTCTGCATAGTCTTCATGCAGAGTGTTGGGAATTGTACATCTGCATAGTGGGAACTGTAATGCAAGTTTGTAATATGGAGTATTTTTATGGCGCATTCAGACAATATAGTTGTTGGATTGCTGCATTGCAATGACAGTTGCTGTTGTTTTGCCTTGCTCCCTTTTGTTCAGTCATATTTCATTTGTAGAACAGCAACAACCAGCAACTGCTTGTGCCAACCTTACCAGTGTGAACAAATAAAACTTGTAAATGTGATAGGATGTTAATAAAAGTATTCCTTTCTTAAACGTTTACATTTTTAGTGCTAGTCTTCTATTCATAGATGTGCACAGATTTAGCTGCTTTTTATAGACCAAAATTTATTCTTACTACTCTTCTGTGCAGCTGATATTTACATTTGTTACTGGATGGTTCAAAAAGGAAAGAAAAACTTTAAACACTTGGAAATAATGACAGTGTACCCTGTAGGGTACCATTAGGCTTTCTTTGTGTTCCAACAATTGGGAACCCCATGGATATAATTGATAGGCAAATGACATTTCCCATGCCTCAGGGTTACTCGCATGTTGTGAGGTTGACCTGGAGGGATGGGAAATATCTAAGTCTATCAAGTGTTGCCACCTCTTGGAAAAGAAATGAAAAGACAGCAGGAGGAGCAGGACAAGCAAAGCAAAAAATATGAACATGTATCAGTACAACAACACTTTTATCTTCAAAGTTATTTTACAAAGTTATTTTTAAAATATATTTGGAAAGAATAACAGAGGCAAATGGAATGTTTTCTAAACCTGCCCACGGTTTCTGTCTGTTTTCCTCAAAGTGGTGATCTTTGAGAAGTATGCCCAAGCAAGGCAATCTGCAGGCTATTCTGGAATGGATGCTCTGTAAACATTCGGCCTTTGGTATGGTGTTGTGAAGAGATTGTTGGGCTTTGAACTGGGGAGTGCTGGGTGCAGTCCCCACAGCCCATTAAGCTATTTGCTGGTCTTCGGTAACTCACAACTTAAATGCATTCCTAAGGCAGAACTTCCACAAATGTACGGAATACTGATGTGACACCTTTAAAAAGACACAACTCCATGGTCAACATTTAGGATTCATAACATTTATGGCAGCCATAGTAGTAAGCCATGACATGGAATTTCAAGCTGAAAGGTTTTCCTAAAACAAGGTAAGCTGCTGGATATTATCTGCAATTTGGCCTGTGGCAACTTCATAGTCAACATACTATTACAGGGAGCAACTGTCTGGTGTTTCCCCAAACCTGGAAATCTTTTGTCATGCCAATCAATTCCAAAACATTCTATGAAAATTATACTGGTGCAGGTAGCCATGTGTAAGGAAACAAATGCCAGTAATGTTTTGACATATATTCAAAATTTTAAAAAGCTTTAATAAACTTGGGCTCATGAAAAGACTATGAATTTGGGAGCCAGCATTGTTTGAATTCCTCCAGGCATCCTACACAAATGTACACACAGTCCAGAGGTACAACTAAGAATGGAGCATTGTGTTCTCCCTGTCCATTGAGATCATCAGAGGGCACCAAAATCCATCTTCTCCATGCAAGAGGTAATATCAGTATAATTAATTGTCATTTAGTATGTAAATTGTTCTGTTTATTTTAGAAGGGATTTTTTTTTTAAACTTCAGTATATGAGAATTGTCTGGGCTAGTTGAGGAGAAGACTAGTCCCATATGATAATACAAGCTCAGAAATAAATTGTTCTTGAGTTCTTCTAGTGTTGTTGCTTTAAGAGCATAATTTGGGATTTGAATGAAAGATGTACTGAAAATATTGAAAGAAAATACTCTGAGCTGTTGTAATGAATATAGTCTTCAATTACAGATGAAGAGACACCGATCGGGAATAAATTCTTAGGCTGATGGTTGCTTGAGAAAATTTCTGGAGTATATGAAGTTAAGACACTTAATACAAAACATTTAATTAATATAACAGTGATAACAGAAAAATATAATGAGTCCAACAGTAAACCATGTTTTATTATTATTTTGGCAGCACTATCAATTATCTATCATAGGTTTGGTGATTCTTCTTAGTCCATTTGTTTCTGTTGCTTCATGCCCATTTCTCCTCAATTTTCTGTGTCCTCTCTATTCACTTTTCTCTTTTCTTCCCTTCTCTCTTTCTGGTAGTATTTCAGCTCCTTCTTCTTCAGGCATCAGCATCTAATTTTTTTCCATTGGGCTTTCTCCTCACAGTGTCCACCTCTGCTTCAGCTTGCCTGGCTTTTTATTGCCTCACTGCCTTAGTCTATATGAGTATTTCTATAAGTCATCAACATAAGTTAGCTTTTCAATAAGTTTCAGTTTCAATAATTCCAGTGCTGGGAAAGGAGGGAGAGAAGCTCCCTACCAAGTAGTCAGCTCTTGATTTCTGTCTAACACATGACACATTGAGAGTGATTTTTAACAACAATGCCTTTATCTCTAGTTCTGCTTTGTATCCTTCTGTGCGCTGATTGACGGTCCCTAAAGAGTTAAGCGCTTCAATTGCATAATCTCTCCTTTGGGTAGATAGGAAATATACGCCCCTTCTTTCAGGCTGTACGTTTGCCAATGTTATAGTGAAATCCTCAATTGCTGTGTGTAAGCACTGTGCCAAATTGACATTACAACTGTGTGCGTGTGAGAGAGAGAGAGAGAGAGAGAGAGAGAGAGAGAGAGAGAGAGAGGGAGAGAGAGGGAATGAAACTTTGCTCTGCCCAGCATTGCTTATATGACTTGATTACATGTGTGTGGGCGACAGAGACAGAGAAAGCCACAGAGAGAGCGCATACATGATTTATAAGAAGTACCGTCCGTAGTCACAAATTCTGAGTGCTGTTAACGCTGCCACCTCTTGGATTCATCTGACTTTGTGGAGGGGGTGGGGGGTTGAGCTGCCGGGTACAATGCCGTCTTTTGATGAGGTTTTAAAAGAGGCTGGGGAATTTGGAAGGTTTCAAAAGAGGGTCTTCTTCCTCCTTTCCCAGACTGGCATAACTTTTTCTTTTTTATTTGTTGGAGTTGTGTTTCTTGGACAAGATCCAGAGGAGTATTGGTGCAAGATCCCTTGTGCATCTGAATTAAGAGACCATTGTTCATGGACAGCTGAAGAGGAGTACAATCTTACCATTCTAGCTTCAAGTCTGATGAATTCTTCCCAGTGCGCAAGTTGGAATGACACCTGTTATAACTGTACCAACCCACTATCTCATCTTACCAACTACAGCTTGGGCAGTGTACCATTTACTAGATGCCTGAATGGCTGGCTATACAAAAACCCTCACTCCACTATTGCCAGCGAGGTAAGAGAATTCAAAGTCATCTAGCAAATATTTTTATTAACAGAACAGGAATGTAAAATGTATCGATAACCAGAAATCTAGATAGCAAATGATGGCAAGTTGACATCTGTGATTAAAATGTTTGCATATTCCATTTTCCCTACCACAGTAACTAAAAAGTAGCATAGATAACCTTAAATAGCATCCGTGCTTCATATCTGAACTAATCCCAAGACTGTTCCTTTTCTACTTACTCTACTGGCATCATAGATATTGGATACAGTAAGGAAAAAAGCTGGGTGGTCAGATGCACCAAAAGACAGCGCCACTGCAATTTCAGGATGCTTGTATCACCTCTCTGGATGAATGTGATGGCACGTCCCATTTGAAGTCAAATTAAGATGAATTTGATGTAATATTCCATTAAGTTAAGGATGGAATGGCAGAATGCAGGATGGGCATGCAGCAGATTCCAGGCATCACCAAATTAAAAGGAAGGATCAGGTAGTGGGTGATGGGAAAGGCCCCTGAAGTGCTGCTGCCGGCTGCAATAGACTGCGCTGAGCGAGAGGGACATATAGCCTGACAGGTTCCTGCCTTCCTAAATCTTAGCCCTAACCTGAGATTTAAAAATCAGTTCCGTTCAATGCTATTAGTTTCAGCCATAAACTATGGCAAAGGGAAGAATAACACCCATAACGCTCAGTATAAGCAACAAAGAAAGGAATAATAAAGTGAGTCATAAAACTTATAGGATGAAATATTTAAAATGAAGTTAGCAGTATTAGTCCATTTAGACAAAATCCAAACAAGAACAGCTGCAGCATAATAATTTAGGGAAGTCATGAATTTGTGAGGTAGCTTTTGAGTTTCACAAAATCCTTCCTGAGTCACAAAACTATTTCTGGGAAAGGAAAGAGCGATGATGTTGCTGATGCAAGTTATGATGGGGCCCATCTGCTGTCTTAAATATATGACAGTTTTAAAACGATTATTCAGAAAGCTCTGCTAGAAAAATGCTGCAATCCTATACATAATGACCTGGAAATGTCTCCTTGATTTCAGTGGGGTTTACCTCTGCAGCAATATTTATAGGATGGCACTCTGCCTAGTGCAGATCTTAGGCTGCACCAAAGCATATGTTAATAAAGAAGCAAGTTCTGTTCATCTTTTGAAATACAAAAGGTAACAGTGAGTTTTGAGGCAAGGGAAAGTGCAAGGGAAATCCAAATTCCCTCCCCTGAAATGCCGTTCTAATTTTGCTTCTGGTTTACATTTGGTGAAAAGAAAATGTAGGTTTAGATGCAGCTTGTGTCCAAAATCTGTGATTTAAGATTCAACATCTTGCTTTAAGCAAAACCACATGGCTCAATTAGAGCTTTTACTTTAAGGAGATTCTAAAGGTTCAAGTTCTTATGTGCAGACTTGGGCGGGGAGTAGGGGAGGCCCATGGGAGGAAGAAAAGGTTTCTAGGCTTTGAAAGCCGTTTTGACTAAGAGCTGCAGAAGTGCAATCCAAGGCAAGCTCAGCCAACCAAGTTATTTGAAAGGGTGAGCCCTACTGACCTAGTTATTATTACCTTGGGGTCTCTCAAATCCATATGGGAGGGAGAAGCATACTTTAAGTAAATGTGTGAGTGTTTTAAATTATAGCTGCTCTTTCTAGAATATAATGGTGAACCCTGAACACCCTTTTCTAGCAGTCGTGCTGGAGGTGGCAGGGCTGGAGAGGTCAAGGATGAAAGAAAACTTGGGCCTGGCAAAGGCTGCTGTCCTTTTGGACTGTCTGGTTAGAGCGCAGTAAAGAAAACATGAAATTGTATGGAATTTACTTCTACAAGATGTAGTGATAGCCACCAATTTGGATGGCTTTAAAAGCAGACAGAACAGACTGTGGAATGCGCTCCCCAGAGAGGTTCACCTGGTGCTGAGCCTATATTCTTTTCGGTGCCAGGTCAAAACCTTTTTATTCAAGTATTATTTTAAAAAATTAGTATTTTAATGGTTTTAACAGCCACTTTTGATTTATTTTTATTGGTTATATTTTTATTTATTTATTTATTTATTTAGACAGCTGATATGCCGCCCCCATCACATAAGCCTAGGGTGGGTTACAATATTAAAATATTGTTTTATATATTATTTCATTTTATGTTATATATTGTTTTATCATATTGTGATATTGATCGTTTTATTGAATTCTGATTTTAATTGTTGTAAGCCGTCCCGAGATGTTAAACATAAAGGACGGCATATAAAAGTTTTAAATAAATAAATAAATTGATACAAGATAAAACAATAGATGGGTATTTTCCCTGCGGGCTATATGCTGCCTGTGGGTACCAGTTGCTGGGGAACATGGCCAAGAGGGTGCTTCATGTCCTGCTGTGGGTTTTCTGTGGGCAACTGGTCAGCCAGTGTATGAAGAAAATGCTGGACCCTGGTTCTGGTCCAGAAGGCTCTTCTTAAGTTCTTTGATTCCAAGTAGCTATGTTATTTTTGTGAGTCCAAGCATAAGCGACTGGCAGCCTAATTGGTGGTGGTTACGGAGGCTTGCCACTAGAGACATTATACAGAGTGAATACTACTGAATTTCCTCACAGGGCTAGTGTGGTGTGGAGGTTTGAGTGTTAGACTAGGAACCTGGGAGATTTGAGTTCTAGTCCTCACTTAGCTATGAAGCTCACTGGATGACTTTGAGCCAGTCATTCACTCTCAGCCTAACCTACCTCTCAGGATTGCTGTTGTGAGGATAAAATGGAGTCGTCTAAATTTCCTCATGTTCCTCACAAGAACAAAAAAGACAAGATATAAAAGCAACAACGTAGTAACTTCTGGTGAGGTGCAAAAGCTTCTGACAGCAATCACAACTCTCACTGCACTCAATGCAAACTGAAGGAATTGTGCCTTATAATTGTGCCACATGAACAACTGTGACAAGATAGACAGTTAATACATGGCTCAATGTAGCTCTGAATGGAACTGGTGCAGTTCATTATGATCTTTTGCTTCTTGTTGCCCATTTTCTTTCAACCACAGATAGGAGAAAGCATTGGAATTTCCCAGAGATTTATGCTGAATTTACTTCCATGTTTGTAAACAAACACACACTGCTGTGTGTGGTCATTTTTATTACATTTTAAATGCTAAGTTTCTTTAAATTGCAATGATTTCCGATTACAATGTGTGTAAAGATATTTCTTTATTTAAACTCAGGTGTTTTGTTATTTAAAATGAACTTTAAAAATGACATTTCAAATGTTTTTAAAATGACCTTTTGAATTTATTACCTCCAGGCCCTAGTAAAGATCCTCTAAAAAGCCTTGGACAGTTAAACCTGTCTTAGACTGATCGGAATTCAAAAATAATCTTTGAAAATCCATGGCAGTCCATATATTAAGTCAATTTCTGGCCCACATCTCCCCATCTCCTACACACTCATAGAAGCAGCAACTTCAGAACAAATTAGATTGTGAAGATGATAATCTATGAAAAACACAGAAGAACAAAAAACAATATATCAATTAAGCCAGCAGTCCCAGCACAAAAACAACAATAAGAGCATTCATAGTGGAGTACTCAGTAGAAAGTAAGATTACAGGAGCCAAACATGGCTATGTCACTAACTTTGGTGATAGAGATATGCAATTTGATCACAGAATTGATTTGCACCAATGAACCTATGGTATTATCCTCTCTTGCTGTGTTACTGGTAATGATTGCATTTAACAAAAGCTTGCTGCCACGCATGATACAATCACATCTCTGGCTCCATGGTGCCAACACTGCCTTTGTGTTTCTGCACAGGTAGATAACCCTTCCATTGCCCAGTGCTGGGCCATAAGAGTAGCTTGGCAATTGCCCCCATCTAAAGTGCTCTAAGTCTAGTTTTGGTCTAGCTTACAATTCTGCAGGTTATACAGTGCATCCTTCTGTCTCATTCTAAAAATGTCTATGTTAATGTAACTGCAGCTGTTCATGGGGGTGAATAAGCTGTTGAAAGCAAGTCAGTGAACACCTGGGGACTTTTCTTCAAAATGAATGTGATTAGGATTGAAGTGCCAGACTTTTATTTTTAAAAATAAGGGTTGAAGAAGGAAACTGAGAGTAAAGGCATACCTTAAACAGGGGTTCTCTCTTCCCATGGAACTCTGGGAAATGTAGTTGTGGGTCCAGAGAAGAGGGACCCTCACCAAATTACAATTCCCATAATTCTTCAAAGGAGCTCATGCTGGTTAAAGTCCTCCGAAAGTGATATATCCTTATATTGCACATAGAGCCAAAATGCATGTTTTGGTTGAGGGAGATTAATTTTTTTAAAAATAGAGATGTTAAATACACAGCAATAATTTTTGAAGTGATGATCCTTTAAGAGCATTATCCTCAGCAATAGTATGTTAAAATTATACTAAATTACACAATTAAAATGGGAAATGAAATGTTCTTCATGGTATTCTTTGAATTTAAACCTTTCATGCAGAAGATTAATTTCTGAGCTCAGGTTTGTATTTTGAAGAGATTATTCCGCTTTCATAATATAATGTCTCATTCACATTAATACTTGTGGATTGTGATTGGACAATGTTCTTTCTCTGCGGTGGCGCCTAAGTTATGGAATGCGCTCCCCAGAGAGGTCCGCCTGGCGCCGTCGTTATTTGTTTTTATTTAAGCGGCATTTTAATTGTTAATATTATTGGATTTTATCTGGCCAGGGTGGCTTATTTTATATTGTTATTTTTGTATTTTTAATTTTAATATTTATATTTTTAATTTAATGTTATTTATTTTAACTTATTGTTGTAAGCCGCCCCGAGGCTTCGGAGAATGGGGCGGCATAAAAATGTTTTAATAAATAAACAAACAAACAAATAAATAGTGTTAGAAAGCTCATTTTGAGAGAAAACCATTAATAAGGACATCTATATTGCCTTGAGAAGTTAAGGCTTTTCATTCTTGAAACTCATATCAGTTAATTGTTAAATACACATAGTTTAATGGGAATGTTGCTAACCAGGTTAGAAC